GTGACCATTTGTGTAAGAGTCTATGTATCAGTAAATCAACATTGGTTTTAAAGATGAGCTATAAGAATGGTTTAAGAAAATAGCAATAAATAAAGCTTGTGGTAAAACGATTTCCATTTATATGTTGTTGGACAACTGTAAGAGAATAAACTGATAAGCAGAATTCTGCAGCATAGAGAACATAGATCCAATGACATAGGTTAGTTTTCTGTTAATGGAACTTGTTCTCCTGAGTGTCTGAACTCTTGTCTTCAAGGAAGATCTGTTCTCGTAATCACGGAAGAAGTGCTTTGACCTTATCTAAGAAGGGAATAGCAATACCTCATCCTTCCAGATAGCCAAAGATTGTATTTTAATCATCTCTTTGAAAAAAAAATGCCATTCTTCACATTTTCTAAATCCTATTTAAGATGAGAAAAACTTCTGGCCTTTATGTGTTCTTTTCACTTTCTATTCCTCAACACACCAGAAATCAGGGAAATTAAAGCTTTGCAGTAAGTTCTGAAGATGACCACATGTATGTTGCTTATAATGAATGGCTAACTTTACATGCAGAATATGTTTGTGGTGCTTTAAAAAGATCCCTTACAGAGTCACTGATTTTAATTTGAGAGGTGAAGGATCAGCTGAAGCATAGTAACAGCCCCTGAATCTCCTGTATGTTAAGGACAGAGAAAGCGTAAGGGAGAAAAAGGCTCGGCGTGCCTGCTTTAGCAGCACACACATGCACACACCCTCACTCACACACCCCAATCAGAAAAAGGTTTTTTTCTCTTCCACAAAAAGAAGTTTGATCTTCTTTGGAGTCTCAGGGTACGTATCTTCTTTTGTGGTCTTTACCAGAGCAGCAAGTAGAAAAACAAATTCAATTTGGGATTGTACATGACATTTGGACTAGTTTTTCAAAGTAGATAAGAATAAGTGAAAAGAAGAAGCAAAGTTAATTTTGCTGTAAGTTTTGAATTATGTACTACTTGTATTTAAGTTTTGATTCTGTAACGTCCAGTGGTGTGCTGGAATCAGCTGGCTCAGCTAGTTGTACCCATATTTTACCAACTCTACATGCAAATGGCCATGGGTATAGTAAGGATTCAATATGTTAATGCAGGTAAAACACTTAGAATAGGGTCTAGTTTATACGTGAATCTTACCTGGCAACTTCAAGTACCCAGGACATGGCCAGGATTCAGGAAGTAAACAAAAGTGTCATTGAGCAACCAATATAAATATCAGAGGGCACTTGCACTGAAGCCCTCAAGCTCTCTGGAAGCCTGTTTTAGTCTTTCTTTAGACCCAGGCTTGATTGATTTTTCAGAGTTGACAGTGCATTAGAAGTATAAAGTTAGAAAGAGGGCAGAGATGCTGCTAGAGACCCTCCCTCATCCAAAGAAAATTACCCAAAGTGAAAACTCAGTGAGTCAGACTGGATGATCTCTAAGGTCCATCCCAGCTCCAAAATGACTTTGGTGAAAAATCGTAACAGTTTGGGGACAAATAACCCAAGTATCCTATTAAATAATGGCTTAGAAAAATGATACACTGTCAATAATAAATCATAATCAAGAAAATAGGGCAGTAGAGATGACTTTTTAAAATGTTCATTCAAAACTGTTAAGTATTTGTGTAAAATTTTTTGTTACTTGGAAGTTTTACGTATATGGAATACCTAATTCCCTGGCAATACCAGGTAGAGGAAGGCATTGGCATTACTGTAGTTAATTAAAAGACAGTCTCTGCGCTTAGAATGTTCTTAGTTTGGAGGAGTATGGCATACCAATTGAAATGCAAAGGAAGATGAAAGTGCTGGCTAGAGGTTAAGAACCAAGTGATGGGAACAAAGGGGGAACCGTTACATTCTCACTTGGAACTAGGGAAAATAACACAGGAGGCTACATTTGAGCTGAGACGTGAGTAATACATAGACAGGCAGAGAAGGAAGGGGAATGTCAGAGCAGCTGTTGGGCATGTTAGGCTGAGGGAACAGAATGAACAAAAGGAAAATTAGGAAAAGTGAATGACAACAGCCGATCCCATGTGGCTGGATCTAAGTGTTCATGAGATACTGGTGTGGAAAGGTGGGTTTGGGACCAGATCATATAAGGCTTTAAATGCTAGGCCAAGGAGTCAGAAATTTAATGAGTTATAAGGAGCCACTAAAGACTTTTGAGTAGGGAAGAGGCATGATCCAACCAAGTGATGGCAAAAGTCAACTGGCAAAGTAAACATTGATGAAACTTTAAGGAAAGGGGGAAAATTGGAGTTAGAGTGACCAGTTTGGAGGTTACTGAGGTGATTCAGGCAAGGAAATTATAAGAGCCTATATAACATAGGCAGCAGGAATGAAAAAGAGGATTTGATAATGAGAGATGTCAAGAAAGTAGCATCTACATAACTGACTAGGTTAGCAGTGAGTATTCAAATGTGATTCTGAGGTTACTAAACCAGGTGACCAGAGGCTTATGATGCCCTTAACTGTGATTGGGAACAGTGGAGGGGGAGCAGTTTTTAAATAGCTGCAAGGATTCGGGGAAGACAAGATACATGATAATGCTTAGAAGTAGATCTTTTGTATGATCAGAAAGCTCAGTAGGTAGTCAGACTACATATAGCACGTATGAATATGAATTGGGGTGACTGAAACACAGCATTGTTCCTTATGTGTAGACAATGTACATTTCTTAATTATCCTTGGTTTTTAATCTGACCACAATGGCCAGTATGTTCGTGAGCATTCAGCCCTGCCACCCACCTCATATCTTCCAAAAGAATGAAAACTTATTTTTATTAGTCAAAAAAATTTAGAAGGACGAATCTGTGATTTAAAAAGAAATCGTTAAAATTATCATATATTCCCAAACCTGATTTTTAGAGTGATCTATGCTTTCAAAGATTATACAGGTTACAATATCAGAAATGAATGCTAGGTTATATAATTAAAACTTTATAACCAGATATATAAAATAGAGAATAAGTTTCTACCATATAGCACAGGGAACTATATTCAATATCTTGTAGTAACCTATAATGAAAAGAATATGAAAACGAATATATGTATGTACATGTAAGACTGAAACATTATCCTGTATACCGAAATTGACACACCAGTGTAAACTGACTATACTTTGATAAAAATAAACAATATAAACATTAAAATGCAAAAAACCTTTATAACCAGAAATTTTCTTGACAGATGGCTTGTAGAGAAAAGACAAATAATGAGAAGAGAATTGAAATGATTTCTGTGCTTTTAGTGCCAAAGCTAGAAATTTAAAGCCCCTAAATAAATAGACAAATGAACTACTCTCTTGCAAAACAGCCAATTCTCTAGACCCATAAGGGATATTTGAGTTATATACTGATAGAGGAAAAAGATGCAACAGAAAACATTTCAGGCTCATTCACTTCCCATTGCTTTTGAGACTCTCCTCATGTAAATAAGAAAAGAGTGAGTTGTCAATGTTACCGAACTGAGTAATGGCAAATGAGTCAGTAAAGTTATAAAAGGATTTAACTAAATGGCTATCATATGTAAAAATAGTGTCTTTTAGATCTTCAAGGATTTTTAATAATACCCTATGAATATATTCTTTGAGTTAGTAACTTCAAGTGAGGAGAGAATTTTGATCTTTTGAAAACTTTGGCCACTGGGTGCCATAAATTTGAGGGATTACCTGATAGTCTGCAATATGCATTGCCACGTAAGGTTTGTACTTTTAAGTTGATACAGAAAGTGTGAATACTATTTTAATATTGTACATTTGTATTCTAGTCTAAAGGGCCTTTTAGAATCGTGTGTGTGGGGGGGTGTGTGTGGTCATACTTATTCCAGGTGGGAGTTTGGTCATTAACCAAGTTTAATATCTTAACCTAATATCAGTGGGAGATTTCTCTGGTTGGTAATCTCTTAACATTCAAAGAACTCTCTTCTTTTCCTAAAGATTATTGGTATCAGGTCATTTAAACTAGAAGGAATATAAACCTTGATAAGCATTGGAATGGTGTGAGTAATCTGACATTTCTCACATTGGGAAAGATGATGTCTGTCTTTTATTTTTATCACAAGATTTATAAAGTTGGAGTAAAAAGGAAGGTGTTACAGTGATTTGGTGTTTAGACTAAGACTCAAGACGATTAGACTAAGTAATAAATTTAGTCTAATTTCAAATTTTACTTTAGTTGGGGTTGAATAGAAACACATTTCTATCAATTTTACCTGTTACATTCATTGCTAACCTGATTAGGTCCATGCAAAACCTTAGAGGACCTTGGGGAAAATTTTTTTAAAAGGTCAAGTTTATTGAGGTGTAATTTACATACAGTAAAATACGCCATTTAAGTAAATACCACCACAATTAAGATAGAGAATCTTTTACTCACTACAAAAAATTCTGTCAGGTCTCTTTCTAATAAATCCATTTTTTGCACCTGGGGCAAATTTCATATTGCTTTCTAGGGTATAGAAAAATGGCACATGTTGTACATTTGGGCTTGTAATCATTACTTGTCTCGGATTTCTAATCCTGATATGTAAATCTTTATACATTTTAGTAGCCAGCTTATGAGATAGTCTGTCATTTTATAAATTGGGAAATGTATAGTCAAATATTTCAATCTTTCCCAAATTTCATATTCCCTAGGATGTAAGCCTGACTCCCTACCATCCTAATGACAACTTGTCTTTAAGAAAGCCTTCTAAGAGGCAAATTTGGCCCCACACTCAATACTTTTGAATTATAGATGGCAAACCTGAGGAGAGGGGAGGTATTTGTTATATATCATAGCTTCCTTTCTACTGTGAGTTCCTTAAGATCAGTAACCAAGCCTCAGCATGTTTATATCCCCTCTAACTTACATATGCATATGTCCCCAATAAATGTTAACTGAATGAATGAGTATCCTTCCTTTGTCTCATTGGGAATCATTTAAAATCACTTTAACAACTGAATTTTTACATTATGAATGCTTTACCAAACTAAAACTGAATTTCTTTTCTTTTACAGGTGCAAGAGACATTGTGGCAATCATGATTGGCAATCTGAAAGGCACAAAAATTCTGCAATCTATTCAAAGAGGCATACAAGTAACAATGGTCATTGAAGTAGGGAAAAAACATGGCCCTTGGGTGAATCACTATTCAATTTTCTTCGTTTCTGTGTCCTTCTTTATTATTACGGCAGCAACTGTGGGCTATTTTATCTTTTATTCTGCTCGAAGATTACGGAATGCAAGAGCCCAAAGCAGGAAGCAGGTTTGTAATGGTCCTTCCTTCCAATTTAAAAATATTTCACTCTTAATTGTAGATTCAGTGTCATGCGTTTTAATATACTTCACTTGCTATAAATGATCCACACGTATGTTTTGTGAAAACTGGTAGTTTTTAAAAGTATGTCAGCTTCCATCCTCTCAAATCTTTTATTTTCTGAAATTTGTCTATGGCCTTAATCCTGCCTCATTGTCTTCTTAAGTCCTCATCAGGGAGCACAGCCAGCATTTAAGTATATATGGGTGTAAATACATATGTTCTTTTATACATTTTTTCCTAAATTCCAAAAACATTTCATACACAATATAGAAAATTTAGAAATCAGAAAGCACAAGGGAAAATAACCTTCACCCAAAACCTCATATAACGACAACAGTGGAAAAAAAAACCTGTCATCACCCTCCCAAAGATAAACACTGTTATTTTACACATGTGTGCCTCTGCATGTGTGTGTTCGTATGTGGGGGCAGGGCTAGGAAGAGACAGTAGGCTGAATATCATGACTAGACGAGTTTAAAGATAAAGATCTAATTGTGCACAATATAGTGCGAGGCTCCAAAGAGAGTCACATATTCACAATTTCTCCCATATTTTAACAACTGATGTGCAAACACATACAAAGTATAGAAATAACAGAACAAAAATACCAAAGCATCTTTGAACAGGGAGGTACCGATGGCTGTATGGCACTGATTCTACCACCTTTAAATTGCCCCTCATCCTCTGATATCCTCATTTCTCTCCTTACCCAGCTTAACTTCCACCCCTCCCATGACCAAGGCATACATCTTCAGTTCCCTTGGCCCTTCTCCCTCTTTGTTATACTTGCTGTCAAAACCCAACCCTGATTAAATACTGCTTCCCACCTACTTATGCCTGCTCTTTGCAGAGCTGAAATAGCAGGAAAACACTGATATCTATACAGGCTAATCTCACTTTAAATTTATGGTCACAAACTCAGAGTGAGCCCTTAATGCTGCCTGACAATTGTACTGTGTTTTTCTTAGCCTTTCCTAGGTGACTAATCATACATATTCTTTTCTCCTTAAACCTCGAACACCTCCTGCAACTTTATTCTCAATCAACTTGTATTTTGAATCTTATTCCACTGAGAAAATTGAAGTAATTAAGAGTACTTCCACAGCAAGCTTCCACCACATGTCCCATCTATGCCTCTGTGTCTATATCCTGTATCCTCCACCTTGTCTTCTGTTACTGTGGGCACACAGACATGCTATTATTGCTTCCATTTTCAAAAAACTTCTCTTGACTCCAGGCTAGAAACCTTGGAGTTAGTCTTCATTCCTCTCTTTCTCTCTTCCTGTATAACCTCCATCAGCAAGTCCTGTTATTTCTACCTTCATTATATATCCAGAATCCAATTACCCCTCACCGCTTCCATTGCTTCTACCCTGGTCCATGCCACCACCATTTCTTACCTCCTCTCCCTCTCAAGTATTCTCAACATAACAGCAGAATGATGTGCCACTGCTTCAGAATGCTTAGTAGAGATTTAATGCTTTCAGCTGATCATATAGTAGGGGCAAGATTACATTTTAATATGTACTGAGAAGTTCCTCCAAAGGCAGTGAAATTCTAGCCACTTCATGCACTCTTCAATAAGCAAAGATGAACCCAATTTATTTGAGAGTGAGGGAGCAGTGAGGACTTCTATATGGCAAGAAAGTTAATTAAATTTAGGAACAGATGAAAAATTGAAATCTTATTATAAAACCTTCATAAAGATTTAGACACCAGCATATGGTAATGAGTGATGATTATCTCAATGTTTAAAGTTAATTGACTTCTGTTCTTCTTAGAGAAGCAGCTTATCACATTGGTGGCAGGTTCAGCCTGTTACTAGCTGTGGTCAAAAGGATGTTTAAAATTCCTGCACCAGGCCATTCAACAGTTTCACACTGTGTTAATATTTGGCATTTGTATATCATGCTGATTTTATCTCTGAGGTTGGAAAGAAATTGGTATCCACTATGACAAGCTATTCAAAGGTTATAGTAACAATGACAAGAAAGTTTGGTTTGCGGATGTTCATGGTAGGGTATGTATTTCTGTACTCCAAGTGCTATATTAATCCTTTTAACGTGGCATTAAACCCCATCAGCAAGCAATATAGTTTATAAAGTACTGCCTGGTGTTGCACAAGCTCCATGGGATATTTAACTCTGGTTTCATTGCTCATTTAAATAATTTTCATAGTTTTTAATACATTTTAAGAAAATTAATCTCTGTGCAAACGGTCAAGAATAACTTTAAAACTTCTCACCTTTTAGAGAAGGCTTTTGAGTGGGCATCTTTCACCACTTAATGGGCTACATATGGTTATCCTTTGGTGACTAAAGAATTAAATATATAACTGATAATCCCTTTTGCTTATATATATTTGAGAGTACTAAAATGTCATTTACGTGTTACATAATTTTCCTGACTTCCTAATTATTTTCAAAAGGTAAAGCTTGATGCATATGATGGTTGAAACTATCACAAAATATTTAACTGCATTATACCCATTTTACTGGTAGAAATGGTACTGAAACTGAGTTATGGAAAACTTTACCTTCATTAGAATATTAGGAATTCACTAGAATATTCAGGAATGTCTTCCATCTGAACCATTATAACATACTATATATATAGGTCAAGCAAACTGATAAATGTATAACTATAAATTTTGATGATCAAAATACCCCAATATAATGGGCAGCATATAGTGGCCATTTGCCTGACATGTCATAGAATGATGTGTAAGAATATACATTATCCCTGTTTTTGTGGATGGAAAGCTTTTAGACAAGAAGAAAAGTATCAGTGGGTTGTGAATAAAAATAATATATTAAGCATTATGTGGTGGATTTATGTTCCCCATGGGAACAACCCTAACCTAAGACAAGGAAGATTATGGAAAACCTTATGGCATGCTCAGACTAAACTGAATTTGGGAGTGACCACTGTATACTTGATTCTGGCATGGGATACCTAGCATTTTTAGGGTACAGTGCATGTACCCTAACCATACACAAGTACCAGTATTCAATGGAAACAAGGCATGTATTGGAGTAAACATTGGTCAGTGAACAAAAGAGGGCTCTGGGTGAAATGGAAGCTGGCCTTAGTATAATGGAACAAGCTAGATTTATTTTTAATTAAGAGTAACTTTCAGGAAAAAAAGAATTGTACTCTCTGAAAGACAGATTGGTAGGAATCATCTTCCAAGAGTAGAGGAAAAATTAGGAATCCACTAGGAAGGCTGATAAAGACTTTGCAATGTGGTCACACAGACCCAATACATAATGCTAGAGAACGTTAGCACTCAGCACTGGGAAGGAGCATACACTCTGATACAACAGTCTGTTAACTATTTTACTTCAAATGGAGGCCCATAGAGTCATGGGGTGATGGCCTTCTATTTTTACTTATGGAAGCACAGGAAGAGCCTCTTTGAGACACGTGCAGATCCCCACATTTATGGAAATTTTCTGGGTGCAATTGTAACTTACATTGCTGATCTCTGACAGACTTTGACCAAAGGATGGTCCAAAATAAGACAAACTATAGGCATAGGAATAACACTGAATGATACCCAGGTATTCCCCATGGGAGGGAGATGGCCTTGCAGTACAACAGTCAATGGGAACCTAAATTATATAATAGTGTGAGTTGAGACAAATGATTGACTTTGTCCTCAGCTAACATGGAACCTAGAAATGACAGAAGCATCACCATTGACACTTTTCCATAATAATATCTGATATGTGGGCAAAGGACAGTTCTAGGAATATTTAATAAACATTTCTGTGATTCTTCGTATTTATTTTGTAACCAAACCAAGCTGTATCATAACCATGTTGTGATATGGTGTAATACTGGTATTGTTGGTAAGATTCAACTGCCTTATATAAATAAATCTTGTGATAATCGAATGTATTGGGAAACTGAACTAAAACTTCTCCAGGATGTGATACCAATGGAGAGTGATTGGTCTGAGGAAGAATTAGATTTAGTTCATTACTTTAAATAACTCTGTACAAGTTTATCACAAAGTTCAAGTGGCCATAGATCAAGGGAGTAAACAGATAATTTTAAATTGATACATCAATAAAGATGTTTTCAATGGTCTTACAGACTGGAAGAATTATTTCTTTGAGCCTGTTTTCATCCTTCATTGCCTTCTGCAAGTATTAGATAAGGTTGTGTTGTTCTTACTTACCTTATATATAAATGCTGTATGAATTTAAAAAACCCACATAACTATGACTGTTTTGTTGTTAAAAAGACCTTGATCAAGAGAGAGGAGATGGGTTGTGATGAAAGCGATAACACAGTAGATCTAGTTGCTTATTCCGTGCAAGTCTCCCAGGGAACCATGCTTGGCCCTTGGCCAACCCTGGAAATGTGGCCCTCAGAGTGGTTTTATTTTGTTTGTTTTGTTTTATTTGCTTTTCTGTTTTCCTCCCAGTTTTATTGAGATATAATTGACATACAGCACCGTGTAAGTTTAAGGTGTACTGCATAATGATTTGACTTACATACATCATGAAATGATCACCACAATAAGTGTAGTAAACATTCATCATCTCATGTAGATACAACACTAAAGAAATAGAAAAAAACTATTTTTTCCTTGTGATGAGAACTCTTAGGATTCACTCTCTTGACAACTTTTATTTATAATGTACAGCAGTGTTAATTATACTTACCGTGTTGTACATTACACCCCTAGTACTTATTTATCTTATGACTGAAAATTTGTACCTTTTGACCACCTTCATCTAATTCCCCTGCCTCCACCATCCACCTCTGGCAGCCATGAATCTGATCTCTTGTCTTTGAAGTAGAATTGACCTACAATACTATGCTAGTTCCTGGTATGTAACAGAGTGATTCAATTTTTCTATGCACTTCAAAATGATCACCATGAATAAGTCTAGTTGTCCCTTGTCACCATAAAAGGATATTATATAATTATTGACTATATTCCACACACTGTATTTTTCATACCTGTGACTCACTTATTGTGTAACCAAAAGTTTGTACCTACTTAGCTCCTCATATGCGATGGAATATTACTCAGCCATTAAAAAAGAATGAGATCTTACCATTTGCAACAACATGAAAGAACCTAGAAGGTATTATACTAAGTGAAATAAGTCAGACAGAGAAAGAGATAAATACTGTATGTTTTCACTTATATGTGGAACCTAAAGAACAAAACAAATAAACAAACATAACCAAATAGAAACAGAATCATAGATACAGACAAGAAACAGGTGGTTGCCAGAGGGGAGAGGGGTGAGGGGAGGAGAGAAATAGGTGAGGGAGGTTGAGGTACAAACTTTCAGTTACAAAATAAATGAGTCAGTGTTCTTAAAGTTAGTGATTGATGATTTTGTTATACACATCTGGAACAATGGACCGTTTTGTACTAGCTTGTCATGGTGACTTGGCACAACAATCAAGATTGATAATATGTACCTGGTTTCATTGCTGGGGTCCTGAGTTTTGGGCAGCATGGCCAATTGCTAGCAGAATTGTCTCGTGGCCAGTCCCCAATATGAGTGTCGGACCCTGAGACTCAAATTGGCTTCTTGGGCGGAAATATGTCACACATGTCCTTGTAGTTTTCTGCCAGAGAGATTGTGCTCTTATGTGGGCTCAGATGAGGAAGAACTTAGCTATATTATTATCTTAAAATTTGTCCTTGAACTTAAGGCATGGCTAAAAATATCTGAAACATTTCTGGTTACAGTAAATTTTCTCTTCTCTCCTAGTATATAAAATTAACTGGAAGACTTATCAAGTGTCTGCATACTGTACCACTATCAACATATACACATTTGTAGTAGATGTGTTTGTATATATGTATCTGTTCCTGCCTAAATTTGAGATTTAGAGCCCTGTACAGAACCATTATTTTGATTCTTATATAACAGCAGGTTAAACAAATTCTTGTCTGAGTAGGACCTAGTTTTATAGTCTTTCTCTGACCTAGCTCCTGGGTCAGATTCCCCCTTTTCTCACTGCTCTTCTGTACAGTGCATTTCCTCCCACTGTTCACGGTGATCACCTTCATGTGAGTGGTCTGTATTCCTAGTTTTGTAGTTCCCTAGACTTATGGAAGCTATTTTATAGTCTGCACCTCCTCTTTCCTTTAGGAACACTTCCATTCATATATTATGCAGAGGGTTTGGGGGGCTTTTTTAAAACTGAAATGTAATTGACATACAATATTACATTAGTTTCAGGTATACAACACAGTGATTTGATGCATACGTTTTCACTGGGAAAAAATTAAATATCTTTCATTGCTCATATATCTAAACAGCCATATGACTCAGACATTGATTTTATTGACAGGAATATATCTGAGGAAAATAATTCTCTTACTATAATTCTTGATTTTACATACTCTGTTTTATGAACGCTGAGTCAAATTTCTATAAAAAATTTATTAAAAAAAGAGTGGTGACTTAAGAACAGGAAAATCTAGTTTGCTTATATCCACCCACTTTCCTTGCTTTTGCATACCTTGCCCTCGCCTATCATGTAATTAGGTTTGACTACATGCCTAGTGTTTTTCTTGTGGGTTTCAGTTAAACTAAAAGCTGAACGTCTTGGAACCAAAACCCAAGCTGACAAATCACAGGACTGAACATTTATTTTACTTAATTGGGTATAAATTCACAAATGAACTAGGTAGAATATCTTTGCCTTCACTGTAATTTAAAAATTGAATGCTGTAATATAAGAATTGGCCTGACTTTTCATTTTCAGCCCAAATAAAGTGTCAGTCAGAATCACAAAAAGACTATGTAGCTGAGATTCTTCAGAGACTGGAAACATCACAACTTTTGAAAAGAATAGTGACATGAAGCTTCTGTTAAGAAAATTGGCCAACAACCAAGCTGCTTTGAAACAATCTTCTACTCTAACTGCCAAATAGCCTTAGACCAGGTATCTCTTAGGATTGGGGAGGAGGCAGGGAGAGTCTGTTGATATAAAATACTTGTTTAAAAGATTTCCCCAAATCACAGGAAGTAGCCAATTTAGGAAGGATTTGAAGATTGGATAATAGCTGACTTTGAGGGGTTTTTTTTGCTTATTTCTTTCATTTATCTTCTTCACAAGGAATGTGAAGCGTTTTAAACACTGCTATTACACAATGGAGGCAGTGTACTATGGTAGAGAGATCATGGGCTTTAAACCCTGGTAGAACCTGGGCTTGAATAAATCCTAGCTCTGCAACTAACCAGCTGCCTGGACTTCAGTCAAGCTTATGAGCATTTTCTTGTCTATAAAATTTGGATATTAAAATACCTGTTCCATAAGGTTGTTAATGATTAAACAAGATGACACAAGTAAAAAGCTTAGGGTTAAACCTGACACATGGAAGGGGCCCAATACATTTTCTCTAAACCTTTTGTTTCCTAAATTTGATAGAGGCTTTTAATGAGTAAAACTGACTTGGATGAGAAAATCAAGAAAACCTGTTTTTCTGAATTCAGAAGCTATTCTTCGAGCAACTACTAGGCATTGTGGGAAATTTTTTAAATGATTAAGGCCCAGTCCTCCATCCACTCACAATCTACTAGGAGAGAAAGACACGTGAACAATACAACACAACTACAGAATATAAGAGGTAGAAGCAATGTGCTGTTGGAATTTGTAGGATAGGAGGGAATTCTCATATGGTGGAGAGGTACCAAAAAAGTGTCCAAAGTACTTTGTGTAACAAAGTAGTATCTATAGACTCCTGAAGTTCTGTTTTTTTAAGAAATAAAATGTAAATTACAATTTGCATTGGGGCATATTGTCTTTAAAAGTTAATATATTCGGACACCCAGAAGTTTGACTTTAATGATATTATCCAAACATATTTAATATAAACTATTTGGTCATAATTTTGTTCGCATCTGTCAGGTTTTAGAGGAATGGATGCATCTTGGAAACTCTTGCTATCAGTATAACAGTGAATTTTGAGTTCTAATGGCAGTTTTACAAGTGACCTTTATTCAGTCTCTGAGGATACAGTTTCTGCTTCTTAACAAAACCACATGTTGTACATACATATTTGAAGAAGTCTTTTCTTTATAAAAGCTTGGTGGGAGTTATTGGGAATATCCAAAGTTCCTTTTAAAAGATTTTTTAAATTCTGGGACTGCTTTGTTAAACATTGGTTTATGCTATGCTGCAAATCTTTTAGAGATTCTTTATAATCAAGTCCCTTGCTTAGGATCTTCTGGTATCTTGGATTTTTTCCTATATTTTTGTATCCCCCTACACACTTTTTTTTAGCACTGATCTTATAAGTTCCACTTTTCTCATCAGCATAGACTTGGGCATTACATTTAAAGTTTGCCTTCAATCCCACCTCATTAATTTGCATCACTCTTGGATATGATCAGAGTTATATAGTTCATCCCTAATAAATTGATAGACACTAGCAGTGGAGATTCATGCATTAATATTTTGTTGAATATTCTGGAATAAGAAATCAGACTATATAGACTTAATCAAGTAGATACCCTAGAGATCTATCACTTCCCCAAATGTGTCTTAGAGCTCATTGCTTAAAACCTAAATCAGAAGTGCTGTAAAGACAACGTGCAAAATGACTGTCAAAGACTTGTTATCAACTACATTTTTTCTCTTGTCCTGTTTTCTCTTCTTGGCTCTATTTTTTATATCATTTGCATTTTTCTCTTCTTGGTGTCTAAATAGCTCATGCTTTATATGAAAAGGAAGTAGTGATGTTTGGAAGTCTGGTCGAGGGCCAGAGCCCTGTGGGCATACTGATTTTTCATTGTAAGGACTGGCCACAATTTGACAGACCGTAGAATTCAAGAGTTAGGAAAACATTAGAAGATTTTGGATGGTGTATCATAATGGAATCTTGGAATGTGAAGAGCGGACTTTCACTAACAGCTCTATCATTTAGGGGCTGCATATGCTTTTGGACAAGTTATTTTACTTTTCCTGGCCCCCACTTCCTCAACGTTAAAATGGAGATATCTCCTTTAGGAGGTTATTGTAAGGATTAAATGAGGTAATAGATATCAAAAACAAGTTTAAATTCTAAAATAACTAGATAAAAATATAAGGAAGTAGTAGTACTAGCTAGTAAACAAGCTCAAAGATTTAATGACTTGTCCAGTATTATTCATTTAGTAAGTGACAAAATCAGACTTTGAGTCTGGGTCCATTTGAATCCAAAGCCTATGCACTTTCTACCAAACATGACACCATTCAAAAAAGAAAATGGAAAAGATGCACTTTAAGTTTCTCTGGGCTTTTGAAAATAGAAAAATTCATTTGAACATTCATAGCATCTGAATCCATTTGGAATAGAGACACACAGCTTTACCGTTGTGGCCCAAAGCTGCTGTTTAAGAGGCTAAGGAAACATAAGTGAAAAGTTTCAGTAATTTAAAAAATCCCTCTTGATATCAGATAGATGGACATTTATTATGGTTAATTAAATTTTATATTTTAAAATTCACTTATACATTGACTTTTGTCTGATATTTATTAATCCTCTCTACCCTTTTTATTGTATTTCTTTTAAAAATAGTTTTTCCTAATACTTGCTATTTTTTTATTACAGAGACAATTAAAGGCAGATGCTAAAAAAGCTATTGGAAGGCTTCAACTCCGTACACTGAAACAAGGAGACAAGGTGCATTTATGACTTTTAAATGCTATTTGTTTTAAAGCAATGCTACTAAGCCATTGTTAAAAGATAAATGTTCTTCCAAAATATGACTTTTTAACCTATTTGATACTGGAGGTAGGCTGAATAATGGCCCCCAAAGGTGTCTACATCCAAATCCCTGGAACTGGTAAATGTTACCTTTATGGCAAAAGGGACTTTGCAGATGTGAATAAGTTAAGGATCTTGAGGTAGGGAGAATATCCTGGATTATCCAGGTGGTTCCTATATATAATCACAGTATCTTTATAAGAGAGAGGAAAAGGGACATTTGACTACAATACAGTAGGAGATGTGACAATGAAAGCAAGAGGTTGGAGTGATGCAAGAAAGAGGCCATGGTCAATATCAGTAAAAGAATAAGTCTGTGTCATTTTGAGACACTAAGTTATGGTAATTTGTTACAACAACAACAGTAAGTTAATACAGTGCTTCAGTACAACTTTACTTGAACATCCATTTTCAGATTTAGCACAGTTGAAAACTATCATTGATATGTAAAACATGTATCCAAAGAAAAGCTATGGAAGTTTGTACTATACTTCAATAAAAAATAGCTATAGAACTTACTGAAGTAAAAAATACCATGTAAATGGCACCAAAACCATTATCTACTTAGGTATAAATCTTACAAAATATGTACAAGATCTGTATGCTGAAAACTGCAAGAAAGAAAGAAATCAAAGAAGACCTAAATAAATGGAGGGATATACCACGTTCATGGGTTAGAAGACTCTCTGTTGTCAAAGATGTGAATTCCTCCCAAACTAATCTATAGATTCAATGCAGCTTCAGTGAAAATCCTACTTGTATCTTTTGTAGAAATGGACAAGTTGATTCGAAGTTTATTTGGAAAAGCAAAAGAACTAGACTAACCAAAACAATTCAATAAAGAACAAATTTGGATGACTCACATTATCTGATTTGCAGAATTATGTTAAAGCTACAGTAATCAAGCAAGTGCGGTATTAGAGAAAGAATAGACCTTTAGCTCTTTGGATCAGAAGAGAGAGTCCAGAAATAGAGCCACATATATATGGTCGATTGATTTTCAACAAAGGTGCAAAGGCAGTTCCAAGAGGAAAGGGCAGTCAATCGTTGGCTCTCCACATGCAATGAATGAATATTCATATTCCAGAAAAATGAACCACAATCCATACTTCATGCCCTCGTCAAAATTAACTCAAAATGGATCACAGACCTAAATATAAAACCTAGAACTATGAAATTTTAAAAGAAAACTTTGGAGAAAAGCATCTTCATAGCTTTGGTTAGACAAAGATTACTTAGATATGCCAAAAACAAGTCCATTAAAGAAAAAATTAGAAATTTGACTGTCAAATTAAGAACTTTTGCTCTTTGAAAGACACTGTTAAGAGAATGAAAAGGCAGGCCACAGACTGGGAGAAAATATTTGCAAATCACATATCTAATAAAGGACTGTATCCAGAATATATAAAGAACTCTCAAAATTCAAGAGAAGAAAACAATCTAGTGGAAAAATACATAAAACAGGTATTTTACCAAAGAAATATATGGCTGGCAAAAAAAGCACATAAAATGATACTTAATATCACTAGTCATTAGGGAGATGCAAAGTAAAACCACACTGAGATACCACAGCACATTCATTAGAACAGCTAAAACCAATTCAACTGACAATACCAAGAGCTGGCTGGATGTAGAACAACTGGAACTCTCATGCATTGGCTGGTGCGAATGCAGTGTACAGCCAGTCTGGAAAACAGTTTGGCAGTTCTTTATGAAATCAAACATACACTCTCCAAAGAACGCAGCAGTCTCACTACTAGGTGTTTACCCTAGAGGAAAAAAATACGTTCACACAAAAGCTTGTTCACAGTTGTTCATGGCAGC